GACAGCAAGGGAAATGTAGAAGGTTATTTTTGTCCAATGCAGACTTAAATAAATGTAGCTTTTTACGAAAACTGTCAACAAAGCCAACCATCTGACATATAGTCTGCTTCTTGCCTTGCAATTGCAGATTCAGGACATTCAAGTGTTGGGTGATATTGGTGAGAAAGGCCAAGTTTCTCAAGAATTCGAAGTCTTCGAGATCATTCTGCAGTTCAGCAGAATTCGTAACCTCTTCTCTTACGAATATTGCTATTTCATGATGGAGTTCAAAGAACCCCACGGCTTTACCATCTTACTTCAGTGTGCAGAAGCAGGTTCCCGTAAGCAGAATCCATTTCTTCCAAGAGGGTCAGAAATTTTCTGAGTGATTGATTTCCTCTTCTGATCAAATTAGTAATTTTCGTGACAGTAGCCATGGTGGTAGACAGTTTAATTGATTTGGCACATAGAGCCTCCTGATGTGTAATACAATGCAAGGTAGGTACAGTAATTTGATTCTGTCTTAAAAATCCAACAAAACCGCTTATTGTCCCTGTCATTGATTTAGCGCCATCTGTTACTATGGAGGACAATTTTTCAAAACCACCGAATTCCTCCACTGCACTCTTAACAGCGTTAAAAATATCGACACCTCAAGTTGTGCTGTGTAAAGAGCACACTTTTAACAACTCTTCGAAAATTGTAAAATCTTCCTTAATTGCACGAACAAATATCAGCAACTGATTAGTATCCGAAACATCTGTGCTTTCGTCGAGAGCAATTGAGAAATAGGAACAATTAGCGATAATGTCTTTCACATTATTAGATATCTGGTTGCTAATATCTTCCAGCCTCCTAGTAACAGTCTGTTTTGAAAGGGGCACTGTTTGAAATTTGTTTCCTACCTTATTTTCATTGAAAGCTTCTGCCATCTTTATCGCACAGTTCTTAATTAATTCACCATCACTTAACGCTTTTTTAGCTTTCATTAATTCATATGTCACGAAATAAGAAGCCAGCAAAGCTTCTTCTTGTTGTTTTGTTTCATTGGTAAAAAGAGATTTCTGCTGGAAAAGTTTTTTCTTTAACTGATTGCAGACTACTTTCCTTGATTCACAAGAGTGTTTTCCGAACTTCTGTTTATGATTTGTCATGTAATGCCTCTTTAGGTTGTACTCCTTTAAAACTGCTAGCACTTGAAAACATACTAAACACTGTGGCTTGTGGTCTTTATTTAATATAAAAAAATAGTCATGTTCCCACTCAGATTTGAACGCCCTATTTTCGCTATCAACTTTTCTCAATTTACTATTTGACATGCTGTATCACTCACAATAACTTCAAACACAATTTTAATTTAAAAACAGTTCTACACTCACACTCCGTAATCACACTTCACTTTCTAAAATCGCACTAACTGGGAGACATTTCTGCTAAAACTGGCACTTAACAAAGGCCAGGATGCCGAGAGAAACGGTAAACATCCCATCGCCGCGAGCAAGCTGGGAATGGTTATTATTTTGAAGGTGTCATAAATCCTTCACCACTACGGTCTTCCCTTCAGTGTCATCTCCCTACAGAAGTAGGGTTGGGGAACTTTGAATTTCCATGACATGAACACAGTTATTAGAAAACCGTTTGAACTGTCCAACTCAGTAAGAACGTATACAGTCAATTGCAAAATGCTGTAAGCTAATGAAACGTCCTATTAAAAACTGAATTCTATGCCAATACAGCTGTGAAGTTAAGATTTTTGAAAATAAACCTGAGACTTGGCGGGGGGCCGGAGTAAATCAAGTTGCGGGCCGCCAGTTGGCCATCGCTGTTCTAATATACTGGGAAGAAGCAAACAGTTCTCCAAAGCAAGAAAGAGATGGAGTTCAAGATCAGAATAGGTTTCTTGTACGTAATCCGACTGTAGGTGACAATGTTATCAACAAATTACTCAAAACCAGAGGTTTAAGACAAGAGCATGTGAAGGCATGGTAGTTGCAGTTGCTTGTCACCAGGGTAACTTTCTCCAACTTATGAAACAAGTATTGATGCTCATGTGAGCAACTGGAATATATTATTCCAGTAATTCAATAACTGCTCTCTGCTGATTTCCAGGGATGGTGTGGGCAGGATATTAAAAGGCAAAGATGAAGAAGCATTACTTTCCTAATGACTTACTGATTTGTCAGTATCTTATTCTTCCTCTTTGTGGCCCTTTGCCTGGCTGATTCAGTCATCAACCTGTTTGTTCGCTTACACCAATAAGGAATGTAAATTCTTGTGAGACATCTCACAATACCATCTACTATTCCTTGGTAGTGAAGTGAACAACCAGTACACCTGAACCACTCCAAGTCAATGGTGCTCTTAATGGCAGCTGTGATATGCTGCAACATGAATTGAATTGCCTACCATCACAGATTATATTAGAGTTACAGCATACCAACAGTCTCCACACCAACGTCTCAGAAATATATGAAGATATTGGCTGATAGCAGCACTTCAGATGTCACGCATGTCTTGTGTGCATCACAGCTGACACCATGAAGCACCTGTCTGGCAATGGAACCACTGACATAGGCTACTGAGAACACTTCCATGTCACCAGCATGTACNGAATAGCTTCAAATGTGTTCACAAGGTAATCACCAAACAGCTGTTGCCAGGTATTCACCACAGCACCCCACTGAAAGAACATTAAAAAGGAAATTAGTGGGCTTCCTTACATGATGGACTTCTTCAGATTTGAAAATAACAAACTTTACTTGAAAGGGACTGCCATTATAAAGATTTTGTATATTTCATTAAATTATTCCTCATAGCAGTCGTCACCACCTTATTCTCTTATAAATCATATTACTGATAGTGTGATCTGCTTTTCAAACATTTTTAATTACCCTAAAAACATCTGACATATCCTACATAACTTGTGTATTGATAAGTTTGTATTGTAGCATCCTGTTGCACGCTTCCATTTTATTATAAAATCTTATTTTACAATCTTATGTGAAACAATTTATTAACTTTAAGTTTAAAATTTAAAACTTAAAAAGTTGCACATAAGACAGTAAAATAAGATTTATAATAAAATTGTATACTGATGTACAGTTTCATAAGTAATGAATGATGACAATGACATTTGTTTGATCACAACTGGGTTCTTGGGACAACTACTTCAAAAATTAGCTCTCATTATTCTCGCTAGCCACTTCTCTCATAACAGAACATAATTCATAGTATAGAGTGCAGTGGTCCTTACCTGTAGCCAATACAGTGTTGTGGCTTGCTGCAATGTGTAGTGAAATCACTTTCCAGGAAATGTTTGCTGCACAAATATTTATTGTACAGCCTTCTAGCAGAATCAACAGTGAAGGTTATTCCAACCTTTCCTGCCCATACCGCAGCCCTGTAAAAGTAAAACAAATAGTCTCAAAACCTAGAAATAATTCTTCAGCAAACATTACAAACTTGGCACACATTCTAAAATTTTGGGTTATGTTGAATAAATTTAACACAGACATACACTAAACTTAATTTATTCATTGGATTAAGCAACACATAGTAATTTCACCATTAATTAAAACAGACATACTGTGCTGGATCCCTTGGAAAGCTGAAGAATTTGATGCCTTGCTTGCTGGATGACAAGCACCCGGCAGCAGCACGTTTTCGTTTTCATGTCTATACTGCAAAAAGCAATACAAAAATTATAACACCATCACGGTACTCTTAGAAGTCTTTAACATTCTACAGACAATCTTTGGGATGAACCGAAAGTTGCAGAAAATATCATAAAACAAATATCGTTTAGATGACAGTTCATGATAACCTCAAAAATTTTAGGCTTGAAAGAATTCTATATGTTTCTAATTCCATTCGTGGTAGTAGGCATAATATTCACATACACAAATAATATGTTTAACATGGAGCTGTAATTTCGTTTGCAAATGTCTACTTTAGTTTCGCAACCACATCAAATCAAAATTCATACTTAACAATTTGCATATAATCCACTACGATAACCGCATGTAATTGTGGGTATTCAGATTGGTTTGTTTAAGCTCTCTGATTGGTCGAGATCTGCCTCCACATACACATAGAGGACATAGAGGCAGGAGTTACGGCGGTTACCGTGTTTTCCTTTCCCCTATCCCTGTTGCCACACACTACTCGTAGATCTCCTAGATCACCGTGCAGCCGTAAAGGATCGTAAAGGATGGAGAAGTATCAGAGCTTACTTGATGCGTTTCGTGTGATATGACATGGCGTTTGACGTTTGTGAGAATGAATTAAGAAATGAAAGTATTTGAATTATAGATCTAATACACGCTGCATTAGTTACCCCGATTATTATCGTATTCCAGTTTGAATGTAATATATTTTTGTACATACGGTTATGTGTCGACGTGAACTACTGAAATTGAAACATGGCCAACCTGTTGGAAGATGCCAACAAGGAAAATGATTTTGTGACGAAAATCGCAGTTACTGGTGAAATTAGTTACGGAGATATTGCCGCGAAACTTATCAACGAAAATTTACTCCTCACAGCTCTCGAACTTCACACAGAACTCGTAGAAGCAGGACGCGAAGTTCCGAAATTAAAAGAATTCTTTTCGAATCCAGGAAACTTTGAACACCAAGCAGCATCTCGTCCAGAAATATCGCAACCAATCCGTTAGTATACCCCAGCATAGTTCATGTCGACTAACACTTAATGCCGTTGTTCGGTAGAGTCTGTAGTATGTTTGTCATAATTGTATTTTCTTTTTTATGCAGCAAGGTCTTCCAGCCAAGCTACCCTTGATTCTTTAGATCTCACAAGGTATTCTGAAGATGGGGAACGTGGAATTGATGAGAGAGTTGCGGTTCTGGAGTTCGAATTGCGAAAAGCCAAGGAAACTATTAGTGCTCTTCGAGCCAACTTGACATTAGCAACAGGTGGTTATTAGTGATGCATGCTTAGGTTAAAGTGTCAGTTACATCTAGAGGTACTAAGTACTCACTCATTATTTTATGTATTTTACCCAAATTATCAAATGATCTAACAAATGGTACACAGTTTTGCAATGTGATCATAGCATGTGCAGTTTGTGCTATGTACTTTCAGAGTTTCTGCAACATAAAAGAGTTTTGTAAGTATGCCATACCCAACACAGACATTTTCAAACTCCCAGAATGCTGGGTGAAATGTGTACAAAGAAGTGGCGATTTTGTGGAAAAATAAATAAAAGGTCTGTAGATTGAGGTGTTGTATTTGGTTTGTCAATAATAAAGCATGTTACTTTACAAAAAATTGTTGCTCATGACTTTCAGTACGACCTACGTATAATAATAAATCCATTGTGGATTTGTTATAATGAGTGAAACAAATTATAACACATACATGCAGACTTCATGGAGAAACCCTTCATTGTCCAGGAATAAGCCAGTGGGAGACCAGAATGGGGGAATTATGTGGTCACCTGTCCCAGAGTTGACCATGTACATTCAGCATTGCGTAACCTAGGAGTCGCAGTGACAGAATCTGGTCACACATCTTTGTTTGAACCATGCTTATTTTTGTTTCTCATGTCAGCATGGCTTTGCACTCAAGAAGAATTTGTTGTATTTAGTTATTATTAAATCTCCAGGCTGTACATGAGGAAATGTCATTAAAAATAAGTGTTAATTTTTTGTGTTTTGTAGAATCAGAAGCAACAACTCCAGATGCTGGGTCACTGAGGCTTATCAACAATGAGCCAATCAAGCCACATGAACAGCGTGCGCTTAATTTCCTTGTGAATGAATATCTCTTAGTGCATGGCTACAAACTCACATCCATTACATTTGCAGATGAAAATGCAAATCAGGTCAGTTGTTATTAGTTCAGATTTATTGAGAATGTTAGCAGCGGCCATCTTCAGAAATGAGATTTGTTTTCAGTATTCTCTGAGAAATTTTTGCCATTAGTTTTCCAAATAATAATTTATGGAATAACAAGAAGATGTAAAAATTGTTTCAATATTAAACTTTTTCAACATCTGTGCACTTTGGTGATCTGTTTATGCTCTTTATCTACATCACATCATGTACTGTAAAATTTCTCATGGATTGTGTTTCACATAAACTTCCTTGACACAAAACAAGCATAACAGAAGTTAATCATAACGTCCATATATTTATCGTCTGTCAGTATTGCAACACTTGTCTATTCAACACTTAATCTTAATTTTAGTTTAACATTTTACACTTTGACACAACATATTTTAACATAATTTAATAAAATATTTGTAACATATCAAAACACATTAAGATGGCTGTTTGGGGCTGAAACATGTTGTGTCAAAGTGTAAAATATTAAACTAAAATTAAGATTAAGTGGTGAATAAACAGGTGTTGCAATATTGATGAACAATAAATACATGGACGCTAAGTTAAACAATTGCAACAGGATGCTGAAATACAGAATTAGAAGATAAACATCCTGAAAGTACACTAGACATAGCCTAACATTATTTTTCAGGCATTGTCACAGATGATTTGAACAGGAAAAGGACATGCGGATTCAATGGATTACCTTTCCAAGACATTTTCAGGGATGCCAGCTTGGATGAATATTATCACTACTGTGTCAGAGAGCTAAGGGACTTTACACTTCTAGCAACCTCTGTTATTAGTTATAAATATTAGGTTTGGTTACAGGAACTTAGTTTAGTTTTTATTACTTGCTTAAGGTTTAGGATTAGTTATGTACATTATACACAAGATCTGATTAAAATAGTGCTGAGGCTGAAGTTGTGAAAAATAAGATAGTATAATTAGAGGAACTGGAGATTAATCCCCTTCAACGTAGGCTTTTTTAGCCCATACATGCTTCAGATTGTGGCTTTGTGTGACACCATGTAGTCTTGTGGGATGCTACCAGTAATTCACTGTGGACCCTACTACTGCCATCTTTAGGGTCGGTGTGAGTAAGGTAAGAATGGAGTCTGGTTATATAAGCAGCTTGCAGGGAAGGTATCTCCCAGAGCCAGGGGAGGGGGAAAGTAATCAAAATGCAGTTTTGGCTGTAGGAATGGGAAACAGGAACTGTGGAGCTTTTAATGCATGTATGTTCTCTGTTCCCCATGTGGAGGTGGGTTAGAATACCTCCATCATAGCCATGCAAGCTGTAGAAGGAAAGAGAAAGGGAATCTGGTGCCTGGGGGGGTACAACTGGTCCACCATTGAACACTGTTAGATTGATTGATTGATTGATTTATTTCGTCACTGTAGATCATTGTACATGATATATGACAAGTCAAGTTAATTCTGAATATTAACAATTTGATATATAAGTAGATTAAAATTACAATAGTTACAATTTTTTACATTCTTATTTGTGGAGAATTTGATGGAATGACACATGATTAAAACATTCTGACTTTCAGCAGTGACTGAAATGGACTGACATAATGGAGTGAGCTGTGCACTCTGTTGGGAATGCTTTAAGAAGTCAGGACACATATATGGCAGCTTCATTATTGTCTAGTGTAATTAGTGTGATATATGAAACCACTGTCTTTATATTTATGTCAGACTTTACGCATTTCCCTACTCTGCTTAACAGAGATGTGAGACTGAAAGCCTCTGCTGGACTTCTTGCATGGCAGAAGTGCCTTTGCTGTGTCTTCCAGATCTTTGTTTTTGTATATGGAATTACTGATATCCATCTGGATTGAAACGTTATTTTTAATTGTTAGGATTTTGAAGACTGGGATGATGTCGGTCTGAACATTCCAAAGCCTGTGGAGTTGCTCAGCTTATATAGAGATTTTATGCGCCAATCTGGCCATGTGAGGTCACCTTGCCACCATGTAGCATGCCAAACAGATTGGTTGGCAGAGGATCTGAAGAGGGACGCAGAGATGCAGGAGTTGGTACGGTTGATAATCTCAGTTTTTCAGATTGTTATATCCTGAGTTATGTTAGGCATAAATTACGTTACAAAGGAAAGTATGCTGTTGATGATGTGCATTTTTCTGCATTTTCTGCATTTAATGTGTAAAATGTGGGAGCCTCAACTTCACACAACCCTATTGGCCTCCACGGCCAGTTACAGGGAAAGATTTACCTGTAAAATAAGTGCATAGTGGGTAGGTCTTGTCCCTTTGTTTCATCTTCCAGTAAATTTCGATAGAATTTGTGTGAGAAAGACACAATGAAAATTTTTAGCAGAAATTAATATTTTTCTATATCAGTTCATAATAATTAGTATTTTGCAGGAAATCAAAATCAGACCTCTATGAAATTATCTCAAAAAAGAGCTCCTTGTTCAAAAAAAAATTTTACATGACTAAAAATATACATTTCATTAAGTTACGTAAATTTTATTCTAAAAGTTTTTGGTATGATGTACATACATTTATTTATTTCAAATTCAATATTTAACAAAAATAAAGGGAAAAGTTATTTTTGCTTCTGTGCTTGTTTAGCCTTGGAAACAAAAAGCAAATATACCTGGAGATCCCGTGCAGTGTAATATCTCCAATTATTTTGTTGTGGTTTATTTAATGATACTTTCAACATCCAGACTATATAGCATGGGATGGTAGAATGATTAACTGGAATGTGTTTGAAAGAAGCAGTTATGGCCCAGTTGAGATACCATCCCGGAATTTGCCTAGATGGACTGAGGGAAACCATGAAATACTTCAGTCAGGATAACACAGATTTGAACCAAGCACCTGCCAGATACATGTCTAGAGCATTACTTCTAGACCACCCTCTTCGGTATCTCTGTTGGTAATACCATTGTCACTGTGAAGGAAGAACCTGCATTGAGAGTGTTTGAGAACAATGTTCTGAGGAGAATATGGACCCAAGAGAGATGGAGTAATAGCAGAATGGCAAAATTGAGGTCATCTGCTACTGTTGTACTGTAAAGAGTGATTAAATCATGTAGTATGCATGGGGAGAATAGGAAATGCATGCAGAGTTTTGTTTTGAAAACTTGAAAGGAAGAGATCACTTGGAAGAAATTGATGTAGACAGGAGAAAAATTTTAAAATGGTTCTTAGAGAAAAAGATGGAGGAACTGTGTGCTGGATTCATCTGTCTTTAGATAGAGTCCAGTGGCAGTTCTGAAATGTTGAAATATTCATGTTCGGTAAGCACAGGGAATTTCTTGACTAATTTAATTAGTAAGCTGCTTAAGGGAGACTGGACCATCATGGCATTCAGTGGTTGGTTTTTAGCAACATTGTATGTGCACAAGCACAGATATGTGGGCATGTGTCTGTACACTAATAAGGACCATCTCATTCTGGTCTCTTGGGGTTCACTATAGCAAACATATTTTTATGTTTCTTTGTTATTAGATAGTGGAAATGGAGCAGCTAAAGGAACATATTGATGCTTTGGAACAAGAGAAGCAAGAATTGAAGAGGCTGTGGGCGCAAGAAAACCAACTCGTTGGAGAAACAGTATCTAGCGTCACCACCCCAGGTTCTGAAGCAGTTGGTATGGTGACTGGCGAGACAGTTTCGATGCACAGTATGACTCCTGAACGCTTTGAACTGATTGAGGCTGAAGGGAGGAATATGGATGAAAGTGAAGTTGCAGTACAAGGGGAAGATGATGGGTCAGTGTTGAGTCTGGCTGATACGGACACAGAATGGACACGCATAATGCTGCCACCTGTGGCAGTTAGTGATAACACTCCTGTTGACTCATTCAAACCTGTTAATGAGGTTGCCTATCCACATGTTGTATGTAGCTGTCCTCTGTCTAGGTAAGATATGTCAAAATTGATCTGTTTTACCTGTTGTTTTTTATGAATGAAATGTGAACTCTTACATCAAGGGAGGTCACAGATCAGATTTGAGACTTACCAGATGCAGAGATCTACATCATAACTGTGAAGTTTTTTACGCTAAATGACATTAACAATTACCATAGCATCATTAAATAACTTATCATTGTATTAGTGGGCTAAGTTTCAACTTTATTCTCTTTTAGACCACTGCCAGTTGCTTTCCAACAAGAAGTTTTGGCTCGTTGCTTCGTGAATACCTCTCAGCAACAGGATGGCCAGCAGATAGTGGAGATGTTAAGTGAAGGAATCTCTGAAAAACGTTTAGTGTACATTTTGGGTCACAGCTTACCAAGAATTATTCCTAATGTTATACTCAACAAGCGGGAGGTTTGTATAGGAGCAGAGATTAATTTGTAGAAGTTTATATTTTGCATTAAACTATATGGCTTCTTGTTGTGAGGTGATAACCTAATTTGAAAACAGAGTGCTCAGGAAAATATAGTATTAGAAAATGACAGATTGTTTTTCCATTTTGGCTGTTTGTTAGTTAATTTGTTAATGGCAAGAGACTGCTTGAGAGACCTGTTCATGTTAACGAAATAGTTAATGAAGATGTGAACTGAGTTGAAGTGCTTCAGATTTCATAAGGCAGGGAAATTTCTTCACTAACTGAATACCTATCTACTCACAGAAGATGCTATACTTAGGTGTTAAATGTCCTTCATACCCTAAAGTAATTTAAGCCTAATTCCTTGTTCTAGGAACTGATTCCATTGATAATGTGCACTATCCACTTACATCCAGAAGCATCTGGGCGAGATGTTCTGTTACATTTGCTGTTCAACCTGAAGAAACGCCCACAAGAAGATGAGAGGAGGAGGATTCTTGCAGGTGATTTCCATGACATATTTCAGGATGCAACCAGTTTGTAGTAGCAACAAATTTTAATGAGGATACTTGTTGTCAGTATCAGTATTGACATTGACAATAACCATGACAGTGACATGTCACAGAGTCATGTAATCATTTAGTGCTATATACTTAGAGTTAACTGATAGCATCATTAAATAAACTAGAAATGCAAACAAGGAACCAGTTGAACAGTAATGCTGTAAACTTATAGTTGGGTGCATCTGATTCGGATATTTTGGATTGGTTGCCGTTCTTTCAGGTTAGGTTTTTCAAGGTTCCCTTAGTCTCCATGCAAATTCTGTGATATTATCATAGTAGGCCCAAGTTGTTTCTTCCAAACCATATCCACTCAGTATTTGTGATCATCTTTATATCTTGTTTGACATTATACAGGCTTGGCAGTAGAAGCAGGAGTAGTAAATAACATAAAAATCAGTATGTGTTATAACCATGGTGCTGTGAAGGAAATGAAGTTGTATTACACAGAAAAGGTTGGAGGTTAGAAAGAAATATAATAGGAAGTTTTATCCAAAATTATTTTTACTTGACCTTTATGAATTATTAGATAACTTGATCAAATTAGATTATGTTCATTGATCTTTTAAAAATGTGGCAAACAAACCTAACTTAGAGAATCTGATAATGTTATCAGGGTCACTATATACTTATGTTTAATGCTGCAGGAATTGTGGGTATTGCACAGTGTTCGGGGCTAAGTGTTGTGGAAAATGAGATTTTACCTCAGTGTTGGGAGCAGATCAATCACAAATATGTTGAAAGGAGACTCCTGGTGGCTGAATCCTGCAGTGCCCTTACTCCATATGTCTCAGTAAGTAATTATATGGTCTAAGATTACGATTGAAATTAAAGAATGGGTTTAATCCCGCACTTCTAATGAAGCACAGTACTTTTCTTAATGGGTCATTTTGATGAATCTTGGTTTGTATAATGTTTTTTTTTACAACAAAGTTTTGTGGATTTTGTGCTGATTATTGATTCATATGACGTTTGCTTGGCGTTCATTTTCCTATCTTTTGTTCTGTTCTACTATGTTATGTTTTTTAATTATTATTATTATTATTATTTTCTAATCTGTTCAGCTGAGACCTTACAGTCACATAGAAATTGTGTTTCATCATTGTTGTGGTACCTTATGTTGTCAGACGTTTCTTTTATTTTGTCTTGATCGACACACTTCCACTTTTACATCCAGTAATATCATCTGGTATACGCACTAGCGTGCACGTGCGCATACGAAAAACCAGCTTACCACCACACCGCCTGGAACCTTACTGGGACAGCCATGTGGTTAGATTGTACGACATGCGTATATAAGAATTACCAACATATACAACAGAAACAACATGCGTATGTTAGTATTACCAACATTCCCCCATAATCATAACATGTAAATTAAATAACTCTAATCAATAATAATAACCAAAATATTATGGTACAATCAAATGGGCACATAAATTCAGTTTATACAATCAAAAGGTTTCATGCCCAATGCATCTAGCAGATATTCATGCTTCACCTTAGGTAAACTCTTCGTCATTATATCGGCCTTCATAATTTCTTTAGGCACATATTCCAGATCAATCAATCCATTCTGTACTACCTCTCTTACATAGTGATATCGTACATCGATGTGTTTACATCTGGAATGAAATACTGGATTTGAGGCTAACTTGATACAACTTTGATTGTCAACATTCATCAGAATTGGAGAGTCATCATTTAATAGTTCCATCAACATTTTTCTGAGAAAAACACCCTCCTTACAAACCTCACTTAGAGCAATGTATTCAGACTCAGTAGTAGAAAGTGCAACACTTTTCTGCTTCTTTGCCTCCCAAGAAATAGGCCCATTTGCTAATTCAAAAATGTTTCCCGAGTAAGACTTCCTATCTTCTCCATTAGCATAATCTGAGTCAGAGTACCCAACAATGGATTTTCCTGTCTTAGAATACACCAAACACAGGTCCTTAGTTTTTCTTAGATAACGCAATACATGCTTGGCACATTTCCAATGTTCAGCCGTGGCACAAGAATTGTATTGACCTAGGAAACTGGCTGTAAAAGCAATGTCAGGTCTTGCTATAAGAGCTAAGTAATTGAGGCAGCCAACCAAACTTTGATAAGAGAAAATCTCACTTAACTTATCAGAATTGTTTCTGTCTAGCTTACAACCAGCAGGAAGAGGTGTAGATACATTTTTACAGTTTATCATGGCAAACTTTTCCAGTATCTTGCATATGTATTCCTCTTGATCTACATAAATACTTCCATTCCTTTTCCTAATTCTCATACCTAACAAGTACTTAGTTTCTCCAAGATCTTTTAATCTGAACTTAGATCCTAGTTTCTTTACAAGTCTTTCTTTTTCAGAGATATCATTGGTTACAATTAAGAAATCATCAACATATAATGCTAAAACAGTAAATGAATCATCCATCTTTCTGTAAAACATACATGGCTCATTAACAGAAACTTCATAACCAAGAGTTACCAACTCTTTAGTAATAGTAGTATTCCATGTACGTGAAGCTTGCTTCAATCCATACAAAGCTTTGTTTAATAGACAAACTTTATTTTCCAATCCTTCAACAGTAAAACCCTCAGGCTGAGTCATGTATATTTCTTCTTCTAATTCTCCATTCAAGAAGGCTGTGCAAATATCAAGACTATACATCTTCAAATTTAACTCAACAGTCAAGGCTAACAAAAATCTTATTACAGACCTTCCAACAACTGGTGAATAAGTCTCATTATAGTCAATCCCATCAATTTGAGAAAAACCTCTAGCAACTAAGCGTGCCTTGTATTTGGGATCACTCTGTAAGTCCTTTTTAACTACATACACCCACTTACATGAGATAGCTTTCTTACCTTTGGGCAGCTCTACTAGATTCCATGTATTATTCTGAATGAGTGCATCATACTCCTCTTTCATTGCCCTTTTCCAATTATTTTTATCAGGTCCTCTAACAGCACTTGAATATGAATCTGGACAGTTGTCAACAAAACTTTCAACAGTCATGAAATTAGTTTCATAATCCTGCAACCACAATGGTGGGCGTCTAACCCTCATCATTGTACCTGGTTCATTCTCAACCTGTTGTACAGGAACTGCAAGTACATCATCAGTTTCAGCATCACTTAATACAGATGCAACCGGAGTATGATCACTCTCATTCAGATTTACAGTAGAGTCATCTAATACTTTTTCTGCATCAGGTTGATCCCCACTATCAGAGATCTCAGACCCAAAATAGCTAGGCTTGATGAAATCAGTAGATGCATTTACATTCTCTTCATCTACACTAGCCCTTACATTTTCCAAGAAAATGACATCTCGTGCAAATGTTACCGATTTAGGGTTGGACAGATCAATCAGTCTGTAGTTTCCAGACTTCTCACAGTATCCTACAAAACACATCCCCTTCGATTTAGAATCCCATTTAAGCCTATTTTCCTTTGGTACATGCATGTATGCCACACATCCAAATACTTTAAAATGGGATACATCAGTCTTTTCCCCAGACCAGCATTCCTGTGGCGTCTTATTTATCAAAGCTTTGTGTGGAACCCTATTTTTAATGTAAGTTGCCGTATTGATGGCTTCTGCCCACATTCGCTTATTACACTTTGCTTCACTCATCAGACATCTGGCCATCTCACAAAGACTACGATTAACCCTTTCGGCTAATCCATTTTGTTGAGGATTATAAGGTACTGTCACATGATGCTCTATCCCATTTTGCTCAAGATAATCAGAGAAATGTTTAGAAATATATTCCCCACCATTATCAGTTCGTAGGGCTTTAATAGTCTTCCCAACTTTATTCTCAACAAGAGCCTTGAAATTGCAAAAAACAGTAAACACTTCACTATAGACTTTATGAAATATACAAAAACCTTTCTAGAGAATTCATCAGTAAAGGTAAGAATATACTTAGCTCCATTCCAGGACTCAACTTCCATAGGTCCACATAAATCTGAGTGGATTACGTCCAGTAATCCTTTTGCTTTACTCTTACGTGCCCTAAATGGTTTCTTTGCAAACTTGCCTTTTATACAAGATATACATGTATCCGGTACAGTGTCATTAAAACAAATACCTTCACATACTCCATTTTTAGCTATCTTCATACTGGTTGGATTAATATGACCTAACCTCGTGTGCCAGAGCTGATAATTTTCATCTTTATCAGCTTTTGCCAGATTGATCCGTTCCATCTCCTCCACATCCATTTTGAACAGATTCCCAACCTTAGATGCAGTACCTAGAACATTACCTTTAATAGACATATTATGTTTACTATAAATCCTACAACCAGATTCCTCAAACACAACAACATGTCCTTTATCAACCAATTTACTCACTGACAACAAGTTTGTTCTGGCTTCTGGAACATACAGTACACTACTAATATTTGAAATAGAGTCATCATTCTTAAACTTTACCCGAACAGAGCCAGATCCTAGACATTCTAATTTATTTGTTCCCGTAGTGAACACTTCTACTCCAGTCATCTCCTTCTCTTTCTTAAACCAATCCAGTCGAGATGTCAAATGAGAAGTAGCCCCTGAGTCGACATACCAACTAGAATCATCATTGGTCTCCAATGTCCGTGCTGCGAAGTAGGAATTCTCGCGACGAGATGTCTTCTCTTTCTTAGCTGACATCTTGTCCTCTTGCTTTGAAAAACTCTTCTTAGTTCCCTGTTTCGAGGAATTCTGCACTTTCTTGGGGCAGTCCATCCGTACATGGCCAATTTCACCACACAACCAACACTTAGGTTTTCTTGGAAACCTTTCCTTTCCATGAGACAGAAGAGCCACATCATCTTTACTATATGAGTTCGTGTCATCATACTCTTGCAATTTTCTGGAAATCAAGTCAGTAGAAATTGTTATACCACAATTATCATAGGTTTGTCTCATTGGTTCAAACCTATCAGGCAAATTTGCCAACATCATTGCCGCTACGAATTCGTCATCAAGAGGTTTCTTCATTGACCGCAGCTTATCAGCAATGTCCACAAAAGCATGAGTATACTCAGTCAAGTTTTTAAACTGTTCTAACCTCAATTGTCCCAGTTTGCGCAATAACTGACATCTTCGATTCAGGCCATCATCCTCAAAAGCTACAGAAAGCTTTTCCCACGCAGATTTGGCTGTTTCTGCATCACGAATGATAGGATAACAAGTGGGCTTGACCATGAGGCCAATCTTTATTAGGGCCGTTGCATCATGCTGGGTCTTCTGTGTTTCGGTCGTAGTATCTCCTGTAGGGTATCCATTTACACTGTTCCAAATGCCCAAGTCTTTGAGATAAAGCATCATTCCGAATTTCCAATCAGAATAATTTAAACGACCGTCCAGCTTTTCAATCGGTGGCAAGGTTGCAGTTGGATTCGACATCTTTGATAATACTCAAAAATATCCACAACTCTTCAGTTAATTATATACTACGTGCAGTGCTAGCGTCCTGGGCCCATAACCTGTTGTGAAACCTTTCTTTTATTTTGTCTTGATCGACACACTTCCACTTTTACATCCAGTAATATCATCTGGTATACACACTAGCATGCACATGCGCATACGAAAAACCAACTTACCACCACACCGCCTGGAACCGTACTGGGACAGCTATGTGGTTAGAATGTACGACATGCGTATATAAGTATTACCAACATATACAACAGAAACAACATGCGTATATTAGTATTACCAACACCTTACACAGATGTGATTTGCTGGTTCAAGTTTGAATAGATGCCATTAAAAGAGATAATATCCTACAAGTAGTACTGTCACGTGTCTCTGTTAATTTTTGTTTGATCATAATAGTTCCTTAGTTCTTCTTCTTCTTCTTCTTCTTCCTTGTGGCCCCTGTTCATTACACTTGGCATCTATTTCTGAGATCTCACATGGTGGCCAAGATTTTCAGTCCTCCTTTGTTCCTGCACCGATATTAGTTACACCATCTTATGTTCAACCAGTTTCATTGGGTATTGATATCAGTTCCAGGCCAGTACAGAGTTTGTGTGGTAATTGTCATGCTCTGATTGCAGCTTGACTGACAGTATAGATGTTCCAATTCTCTTAATCCCTGTCTGTAGTCTCTACTGCTTATACAATGTATTGTGTAAATAAGTTCCATCTTGTATTAAACAGAGTGTGGTTCTACATTGAACTGTTTGACATAGCATGTGTTCTTGGTATGAAACATTTTTATTTATGTTGAAAATTATAAACATGGTGAAGATGTGAAACCTTTAGTTTCACTTAAATTTGAGGTTTGCATGGCAGTGACTGTGAAGAGTACTTTCTTCTGGATTGTGATGCAATGTAGTCTGATAGAAGTTTAGCAGTGTTTTGGATGAACTAATGTCTCATTTTTGGTGTTAAGTCCAGCAAGCAATATACAAGAAACAGGCAACAAAAGGAGGTAGGTGCCTTTAGAGGAAAAACAGACATACGAATGTAAAACCAGTCTGCTCCACATAGTGTGGAGACTTGTATGCAGTAATTTTATCACACACTGGTTATGCATTGTGATAATTGCATTTTTATTGTAGTTTCTTTACTCATATATTTATATCAAGACCTTTAGGTCAGAGAGTATTGTCTGTTTGCATTTTTTTAACTGTTTAAACTGGTTTGGAAGTGATTCAGACTAGTTACTGAAACTTTGACAGGTCTTAAACTGCTAAACTGTAACAGCACTGGAACATGAGATTTGTATTTTCTGGAGGAAAAAGTATCACTTTTTTATCATTGCAGGATTTTATGCTGCCACTTAAGGCGTTAAAGTCACTAGTGGAAAAAGGTAGCTGAGCCCCTAAATATTATGTTTCAGAGTCCAATTCGAAACTCCTTAATGCTGTCCATGCTTCAGCAGATGCTTCTAGAAGACAAAAATGATACAGTAAGAGAAACTGTGATCTGTAGTCTGGCACTCATTGTTACTTTCATGGATGATAAAGATAAATATTTTCAGGTAAGTTCACTCATGCTCACTGTGCTGTACATATTTGGCTGTCATGTGGCCCTCAGACTATGGGATAAAATATTTCAAGTTTGAAGTCAAACTGTTGGAATGATGGTGGAAGTTTTCCTGCTTGATTTCACACAATTTTATTTT